TTTGAGTGCTACTTTTAAGTTGGAAAAAAATGGATTTTTTAAAAAAATGCGTTCTTTATGGTCACCCTCCCGGCTCCCAAAATTTGGCAGCAAATGGAACTGCTGATATCAGGGGGGAGTGGAAAATGCTATTTATTTTTTTTTAAGTGGAAATGTTTGTCAAAATAGCTTTTAGGAGTTTGCCACTGAAATTTGGCTCTAACAAGGTCAAAAGAAGTTTTTTTTTGGGGGGGGGCATTCCAGCGTACCTAAAATGGGTAGAACTGGTGGGAATGGCTTTTTTAAACGCATGACCCTGAGGCAAGTACTGTATTCAGAAAGGGCACATTTGGCAGCAGGCCTACAAAAATGTACAGTACATAGCAGGAGAAATGCATTCAAAATTTATTCAGATTATCTAAGGTTTGAAAAATCCTGGAGGTGTGAAATCATCTGATTTTAACAATGGAAAAATTATAAGCAGAAAAAAAAAGTGAAAGATGTGGGGGGGGCACACCCAGAACTGGAGTTTGGGGTGTCATTTTAAAGTAACATCATGTTAGATGTCTAAGGAGTAGATTGTTATTAAAACTGCAGTACATGAACGTTTTCACTGAAATAAAATCTGCTAGTCTTTAAAGTGCCACAATTCCTTGATTTAGTTTTCATTTTTTTAATGTACTGCTTTTCAAAGCAAGGTCCTGGTTGCTCTTCAAGAGTAAAAATGTGTTTTTATACATTACTTTTCAATTACATTAAAATGTAAAGCACACTTGAAAAAGAGAGAAAACTGTGACCTCCCCTATGATACTTGAAACAATATTTCAGGAGTAAAAAAAAACAAACTTTCCATGTTGCTCTAAAATGTTTAGTTTAAAAAATAACACTACCAGTCAGCAGTGTATTATGATTCCTAACACTTTAAATCCAGGCTCTGCCTAAATGCTATTACTACTTATTGTTCTTTTTGTTTTAATGAAAAAATTAACAAAATAAAAAATGGCAATAGAAACAACTCAGTTGTTGATGGGAAATATTTCAGTGGTCCTCAGTAATGGGGAACAATGCCATATGAAATATAACATAAAAATATGAAATATAACCAACTTCTAATCTCTGAAATAATACCATCAGAGTGGCAAAAATGACAGTAAGAACAACATACATATACTGGTATTTAACTGATATTTGGTCTTTAGTTAAAACTTGTGTCTGTTATATAATACCAAACACTGTGTCTCATAAATGCAGATATTACTAACAATACAAACTCCTCTGTCTAGCAATACTAGACCAAATTCATTGTGCCGTTATTCCATGTGTCCCCCTATTTCAGTATTGACTTTCATAATGAAAAGAGGATGAAATGGGGCTGTGGGAAATCTAAGCATTGATAAGAGTGTAAAAGAAGCACTGACAGTTTGGAGAGACATTTTTGTCTCTCCTATAGGCTGGTGTGTTTTGTTGTTGTTTAGTCGTTTAGTCGTATCCGACTCTTTGTGACCCCATGGAGCAGAGCACGCCAGGCCCTCCTGTCTTCCACTGCCTCCCGGAGTTGGGTCAAATTCATGTTGGTGGCTTCGGTGACCCTGTCCATCCATCTCGTCCTCTGTCGTCCCCTTCTCTCGCCTTCACGCTGTGTTTTACAAGAGGGGCAATTCTAAGGTTATAGTGACATCTGAAAAGGTGGGATAAGCACAGTTCTCTCTACCAAGGTGAAACAAAATTCTGTTGTGTTAAAGGAGTCAAATGCTCCCCTCTTTTCCCAGCTTCATGCTGAGCCCACACTCTAAACACCACAGGCAGATTTAACTAGTTTTCTGAATCGTGCTCAGTCTTCAAACTTGGAAGCAAAGAAACTGTAGAGGTCCCATCACTGGAGAACCATCGCTGAAAACTCTGGCCTTGACATCTGAAGATAGCATGGGTATGGGATGGCCTTTGACAGATCCTTGATCGTAAGAGGCGCATGGCAGAACAAGGAAGTGTTGGGCTTAAGCCCTGCTTACTGCTTGTAGACCGTACATCAAAGGGTGTGGGTGGGAGAAAAATGTGGCATTTGGAAAATTACAGGTTCGTTTCTTGCTGTAGACATGGTCAACCTGACAAGTTTCAAAATGCAAAGTAGAACATTTGCTTAGAATGGCTATATTTAATTAATTTCATCCAGTTAAGTAAGCTTTTGAGTGTAGTCTTAAACCTATTTACTAAGCAGTTAAGCTCCGCTGAGTTTACGCTAACAAGAACATTTAGGATTCCACTGCAACTCAAATTAGCATTCCACATGTCTATGAAGTCTGAATTTATTTACAAAGTTCAAAGGGGGAGAGGGAGTCAACATGTTTAGATGTTGGGGGAACCCATCGTCCTAATTTCGGGAGTGGAAATAGAGAAACTGCAATCCTCCAGATCTTGTTAGGCTAGCGAGTTGATATCTGTGTGAGCTCAACTCAACATCTGAAAAGCCAAATCTTGAATAAGTTCCCTACCATATGGAGGGAATCTAAGTAGATGTCTGCCACCTTTCGTTCCCCATCTGACTGATGATTCACATTTTCCACAGCATGTATTTATGTAAACCACTAGAACACCCAACTAATGAAAGAGAGATTAATAAACAAGCCTGGTCAATCTAGTGATTAAAGGGTGTAGCCCTAATAATATTTGGCATAAATGTAGATCAGGAATGGGGCACTTTTAGTCCTCCAGATGTTCAGGAGTGTAATTCCCATTGGCTGCGCTGGCTAAGACTTCCGGGAATTGAAATCCACAAACATCTGGAGGGCAGACGTTTTCCCAACAAAAGGACTAGGTAAGGGGATTCTGTATTCACAGCTCACTGAAGAAATTCCAGGGACGAATAATCACCAGGAAACACTGTCCTTTGGGAGGGTAACATTTTATTGAAAATTGACAACATTAGAAAGGTATCAAGCTGAACAGTGCTGGTTCTTCCGTGTGGTTCATACGTAAATACATACTGAGTGCAGCTGTCAAATTACAATTCTTGTTTATAAAGAAACCAAAATACATTTTTTAAAAGAAAAAAAAAGGAGAGACAGGTGAACAAAGTTTCGGGAGACAGACTTCATGCAGTGAGTGTTCCAAAAGTGGTTGGGGGAAAAAAAATGAATTTTAAAGGGCAGCAACATTTGCATGACAGCATTGAAAACAAAATGACCAACGACAAGTTTTGATATCCAATCCATCCTAGAAAAATCAGCTTGCAACCCAGAACCACTTTGAGGAGAATTTTCGGAATTAAACTCACCACAGTAATAATACTTAACTTTTTTATACAATGCATGTTTATGTATTCAAAGCGCCTCACATATGTTACCACGGCCCCTGCAGGGTGGGCCAGTGCGATTATTCCTATGCTGGAAGAGGGTCGACAGCTAAGGCTGAGAGAATGCAGACTTAAACTTTATTTTTATTTTTTTTCCCCCTGTTTGTAGGCATTTCCCAATCATCGCGTTCTGCTGCTCTGCAGAAAATTGAGTGTTTCTTTTTCAAAATTTTAAGTTAGAAATATGACTCAATCAAGCTGATTATTTTCTACTGCCATGGCAGAGGTTATCTATGACCCCAATGAAAAATATACTATTCCCCCACCCCCTTTTCCCCCACCCCACTGCCCTTTAATTCAGTGTTAAAATTAAATATTCCCTCAGAGGTAGCAAAGTCGCTTGTTTCTCTGTTTGCTGTTCATTGCATAAAACTTGCTTTTAATCCACGCAAACCAAGGAATTTAGCACAATTGTTCCACATATACTTTAAAAACACCCATCATATTTATATTGAGGCAAAATAGGAAGGAAATAATTTTGTTGTTGTTGTTTTTTAAAAAAAAACACGCCTGTCTCAAAGTCGTTTGGCTACATCGTTAATTGGTCCACCATCTTTCGGTTGCTCCTTCAAGCTTTTGACGAATGGTGCTGTTGTTTTACCTTTTCAGTATTTTCCTCGTCTTGCGGATAAAATCGCAAGACACCTCAGCTTGAACAAACACACTCTCCATGCACATCAGGAAGAACAGAAAATGAAACAAAACCAAGTCTTCAAAGATCTCAAGATTTACTCATTCCTCCCCTCCCCTCCCCTCTTCCCAAGCAGGGTGGGAACCCGGACATTGCTTTTCCCAATGGAAATCTTCTCCCTCAGAAACAATGCAGCAGGTGGAGACAAGATTAGAAAAAGCTGGACACAAGAATGGGAGAGAAAGAGAAAAAGGAGGGAAGGGGAGAGAGAGAGAGGGAAAAAAAGACACAGATTATCAATTAAAAAGCAGAGTAAAGGGAGAACATTCAAAGAAAAAAAAAGCAGAAAACAGATCCCTGTAACACAATCAAACAGAGAGAGGACAGAGGAGTAGATCAGTCTGGAGTTTGTAGATGTTAATCTTTTGGACTACAATTCCCAGAATCCCCCAGTTTGTACGGCTGCAGTCAAGGCTGGCTGGAAGATACTGTAGTCCGAAAGATTAGCTGTTCTGAATTCTGTGCCTTCTTCTGGTGTTAGGAAAAAGGTGGAGAAGAACTTGTCATCCAGATGTTTTAGAACCACGAATGCCATTATAGCCTCTGGCTACCCTGGCCAGGGATTATGGAGTCCAAAAACATCTGGAAGGCCAAAGGTTCCCAACCTCTTATTATCTATTTTATTTATTTAAAACATTTTTACTCCCCCTTTCTCCTAAGAAAGGACCCAAAGGGATGGACATCTTTAAAGCACAACATTAAAGCTGGAGCAAATACTCATGCATCAGAAGAGGTCAATGATATTAATACATGAAAGCAACAATATTACAGTACTGCTGAACCACAAATGTAGTGTATCAACAACTATGAGTGTAGGACAACTTCAAAAAAATATATACAGTTTTCAGATCAGTGCAAACAATCAATGGTTGCTTTAAGAAAGAACAGAAGATTAGCTAGGTTAATTTAGTGCCCTTTTTTCCGCTCCCAATATCTGGAAGTATGATTGCTTTTGGACTGCCAGATTCCAGCATAGTTTCATGGTGGAAGGAATAAAGAAATACATACTCCCCTGTTCTGAAAGGTGCAGTATTGGCTTTGGTTGTTAATCAAACTACTGTAGTCATATGGGGAGGGGGGAGAGGAACCCTTGCATATAAGTGTTTTTTTTTGGGTGGGGGGACAAAATGTAATAATTAAAAATAGCCACCGTTCTTGACTCACCAGGCCAAAATATCCTAATGCATTGGTCCTTATGAGTCTCCAGATGTTCTTGAATGACAACTCCTAGGAATCGTGGCCAGCACAGCTAGTGGTGAAGGCTTCTGGGAGTTGTAGTCCAAGAACATCTGGAGTCCTAAGGTTGGGAACCCCTGTCCAAATGTAAGGGTGGATACTTCATTCTGCCTGCTCCTTCTAAGAGCTATGGCTCTATCAAAAGGTGTTTTCTTTTGGTGGGGGTAGGGAAACAATAAATCACACGACAAGTTGGATTTTAAGCCTTTCTGGTTGAATGACCAGCAAGACTTCGTTTGGGGAGTTCTATGAGAATCCCGCTCAATTTCTGGATGCATATAAATCTCATGAAACATCTGATAGGTACAAAACATATTTTCCAAAGGATTACAAATCCCCCTGGTTTTGGATTATGAAGCCCCAATCAATATCTTCAAAGCACATGTGTGGGAGTATATTCTAAATGAACAAATACTCTGAATCTTATGATGGATTTCTGTATAGATCTGCAAATGATCTGGGGAATCATTTACAAATACCTTCAGAGACATATACTGGAATGCTTACTATTCAAAACATGGCCTTAACTGCATCTACAAGGCTCCCACTTCTTCTATAGCTCCATAAATAGAATGGTGCATGAATCACTCTCTTATTTAAATGCATACTGAACTGCTGAAGAACACATCACATGGACATGTCTGAATGAGGTTCGACTATACAGTTTTTTCCACCTGATGTGACCACAAGATGGGGTAGGGGGCGGGGCGGCATGAAGAAACAGCATTTAACAATGATTCATTAAGTGGTGCCTCGCTTGACGACAATAATCCATTCCATTCAAATCGCTGTTAAGCAAAATCGTCAAGCAAATTTAAAAAACCCACTGAAGTGTATTGAAAATCCTTCAATGCATTCCGATGGGCGAAATACCTGCTCTTTTTGTGAAGATCCTCCATAGGGCGGCCATTTTCCAGTGCCTGTAAAACGAGGAATCCGTGCTAAAAACAGTGGGGAGCCATTTTGCACAGCGGGCGGCCATTTTTAGAGCCGCCGAGGAGCTGTTTTAGAATCGTCATCTAGTGAAAAATCGGTTCCTGCAGGAGGGAACTGATCATCGTCAAGCAAATTTTCCCCATAGGAACATCGTTTTGCGATTGCAATAGTGATTGCAAAAACTTCATCGTAAAGCGGATTCGTCGTTTAATGAAGTAATTGTTAAGCGAGGCACCACTTTATATTAAAACTGAATCCAACACAAAAGAAACATTTATCTATCTCACCACTCCAAAATTTAACTAAGGTAGTGGTGTTGTCTTTTCAAACACACAAATTAAACCCAGAGAAAATCCACATTGTCTTTTTGACAACACTAAAAGAATTATTTTTTTAAAAAAACATATATATTTAAGCATCTGGCTGCAGAGCCAGAGGTTGGGAGTTTGATTCCCTGCTACGCCTCCTTGACAGGTATTGACTTGATGATCCAGAGGGTCCCTTCCAGCTCTGCCGTTCTAAGATTATTATTATTGGGAACTTAGAACACACATGGTTTTGCTGGATTTTTTTTTAAAGGGGGGGTGCATTTTAATTTGGGAAATTTAAGAAAAACTCACGCCCCTGCAGTTGCTGCTAGACTTCTATCAGTTCCATCAGCCTAGCCAAAGGGCAGGAGAGTTGGCAAGGCTGGATTCTGCAGGATCTCATTACACCCTACAGAACGTGGGAGGGCAGAGTATGGCTTGTGGGGTGCCTGCTGCTTCCCATGTCACTGTGAACCCCCAACCTGCTATCCCCAAAATTTCTAGTCAAAAAGTCCCTTTGTGCCCTATAGCAGTGGTCCCCAACCTTGGGCCTCCAGATGTTCTTGGACTTCAACTCCCAGAAATCCTGGCCAGCAAAGGTGCTGGTGAAGGCTTCTGGGAGCTGTAGTCCAAGAACATCTGGAAGCCCAAGGTTGGGGACCACTGCCCTATAGCGTGTGGAAGAGGTACAGTATTTTTGCCATTTGGGTGGAGGGTCCCCCCCCACATCTCCAATTGTCTTCAAAAATATTTTTGGACACTAGAGGGCATGTGGGAGCTTTTATCAAGTAAAAAAAAAAAAGAGAAGTCTTTTAAAAGAAAAATATTGGAGGTGTACACAGGGCTTGGGAGCAGGCTTTTAGGGTCCCCTGATGGGCAAATGCAGTCCTCCAGCCTCTCGCTACAGAGGAAAATTCTACCCAGGGCTGCCACTGTTGGTCTCAGTTTCACGTTTTATCACAATGTACAGATTCCCATAGTCTTCTTTTTTTTGTAATGATTATTTTTCTATTCTCCCACTTAAAAACTGAGCATTACTGACCATGCTAAAATGGTATTTTAAACGTATTTTTAAAAAGCACACAAAACACAGTAAGAGGTTAAAACACACCCAACAGTACTGAAAACCTGTTACAAGGTCTGGCGCACCTGGGCAAACAAAAAGAGATCCTTCACGTGGCACTGAAACACATTTCTGCACTATTTGAACAGTTCTGTGCAGAACACGCCAAGGGTATATGAAGCAGGAGGGGAGAGATGCCACAACACGCAGACCCTGGTCATCACATACTGATGCTGCAATTGCCCGGAGAAGAACCTCCAGATTTATTTTAAATACAATGGTGCCTCGCTTAACAATTGCCTCACTTAATGAGGAAATCGCTGTACGATTAGGTTTAAATGAGGTTTTTCCGCTTTGCGATGATCGGTTCCCTGCTTCGGGAACCGATTTTCGCTTTATGATGATCAGCAAACAGCTGATCGTCAGGTTTCAAAATGGCGGCCGGCTGAAGAAAATGCCCCCCCGCTGTTTTTAGGAAGGCTTTTTTGCGTAACAAGCACCAGAAAAGGGCCGCCGTAGGGAGGATCTTTGCTGGACGAGCAGGTATTCAGCCCATTGGAACGCACTGAACGGTTTTCAATGCATTTCGATGGTTTTTTAAAAATTTCGTTTGACGACGTTTTCGCTCTACAGCGATTTAGCTGGAACGAATTAACGTCGTCAAGCGAGGCACCACTGTAATTAGGCAAGTTCATGCAGATAACTATGCACGCAGAATTTAATGCAACAGTGGTGTGTGTAGAGAAATTTGCTGCTGCTGCATGACAGACTGTACGGTAGCCTTCTGGCGAATTACTCCTCAGGCAACAGGTTGCTTCATTTCTTCTTTGCACCCTGCACATGAGCCAAGCAGGTTGCCCGTGAAGGAAGCCTCTTTGCTCCTTACACCAGGCTAGTAAAAGTGTCTCTGTGCACTAGCAATTTTTACTGGGCCCTATTTACAAGGCTGTCTTCGGCCAGTCTCCTAAACCTTTTGATTGTGTCAGTTGTATTTCTATTACACAGTATACAAGCGCACACCATGATACAGCCACAAATATTTTTTTTTTAAAAAAATAGAAATCAGATACTGATTATGTAGTGCATGAATCTAGGTTATCCGGGGTGGAAGCATCGTGAGAAGACCACGGCTGAAATTAAATAAGTGAAGGTCAAGGCGCAGCCCCGTGTACTCGAGGGGGATTTACTCAGTACACAGCCATGGGTTACTGTAAAAGAAGGGCAAAAAAAGAAAACAGAAAGAAAAACAAAACAGAAACAAAGTATTAAACCAGAATTATTGTCTGGAAGATGTTTATTTTATTTTATTTTATTTTTTAAAAAGAAGCTTTCCCATCAAAAAATATAGTTTATATATCACAAGGCAACACAGAAAATATACAGGTCAATACATTTAAAGGGATCTTATCTGTTTGGAATTATGTCAGTGCAAAAGGTGGCAATCCAATTTCTAAACACTTTTGATACCAAAGGTCCTGATTTGTCTAAGTCAGCGAGTGATTCCTTTGTACCTTACATCCTACCAATCACTCAACCAAAGATCTTAGGTCCACTGGGTTGGTGGGAAATCTGAGAATGCCATTTTACATGTTTACAGTCGTTCCGCTGGCCGGGAAA